TACGCAGATTATTCAGCCACACATCGAAGGCCGCACTAGCTGCAGTGGTCGCCCCTACGAACACCGCCAAGTACAATACTCCTATTGATGAACAACAATTACTATTAGACTCCTACTACCGTGATGATCACAATCAGAGGCCGTTCATTCACAATCCCAAAATTCGGTGCCCTTATTTCCCGTAATATTCACACTTATTGTACAAATTTGAAAATTCGGGATTTCATGCTATTTTTTCAAATTTTATGGTAATTCGTACTCGTTCGATGAATATTCTTACTACAAAGTACCACTTTCTGTCACTAAATCAGAGAACCGAATCTTGTGCACGCTCCGAGCTCCCTTACTATCATTCATAACACTCTCTATGTGTCAATATGTCGGCAACTCAATAGTAAATGTGGACCCAACCTCTCTCCTGGCATTCAACCAGTACCCTACCTTTGGCAACTTCTGAGTCCACTTCGGCCTTAGGAACACTTCGTAACAACACCGGGGGCAGACGAGACTCCAAGTCGTACAGGTCCTCATAGAAAGATCTGTCTGAGTCGTCAACCCTACGGACGATTCAACTGTACCGAGAAACTACACGGATGAGTATTACCATAAAAGCTGCAACATACGCTCCTGTTCGCTGAGCCCACCCTCGTCCTTCTTACTACTCTCTTGGGTAGGGCCCGTCAGTCGTGTCTTAGACTCGGTCTCTACTACAACAATGAATACCATAAAACCTCCAAATCACAAGCATCACCTTCCCCCGGCAGCTTAGGTGGCGGCAAATCGAGAATCTCCGCGATTGACTTCAAGTGAGTTGAGAGCTTTTCAAAGGCCGTCGCAAGAGATGAATACCTAAAAGCGACGCTCAAAGCCCCCACCTCCCCCCCCTATGAATGGACCTACTTGCTCGCATTCTCTGCATCCACTGTTCCCTTGTCCACCCTCATACGTGTGTTAAACTGTTCCTGTGCGAGCATCTGTTCATGAGCCACTGGGTACAGCTGAGGGACCGCAAAGTTGGTATAAAATTTCACAATGGCCTTGACAATAGAATCACCTACATAACAATACTTTCACACTGATCTCAGACGGCAAAAACCGCGACTACTTGTCGTAGAATCCAAGAGGCATTCTGAATAGTCGGGCTCTTCTACGCCTGCCTCCTTCAGGAGAGCTCTATGAGCCTCTCCAGTTCGCCCGAGTGCACACAAATGATACCTATACACTCCAATTCCCACAGTGAGCAAGTGACCAAGAGCATACTTATTCAGCCAACTATGCAGGGCAGTAACGTCTTGAAGTAGGACTTGGGTTTGTGTCGATTGTCCCTTAGAGCCAACCAACATCCCCTTCACCACAGTCTG